TTCGTACAGTTTATGCCAATGGAAAGCAGTTTTCCACAATTCATGATTTGAAGGCAGCAATTTCAGATGCTTGGGATAAACTTAAGATTGAATTCCTTCAGAATCTAATTGAAACAATGCCTAATTGAGTATTTAATGTAATTAAGTTAAATGGTGGTTACATTGGCCATTAAATTGTAAGAAAACTTTGCAATTTTAAACCTGTCCGGATAAATATGTAACAGTTTTTTTGTATAAGATTTTCAAAAATATTATTTTCAGTGACAAATTATTAATGTTTGATTAAAATTCTTATTTTGCAGTGTAGAAACATGTAAATCCATATTTTTTTTAATAAAACATTTGTCACTTAATGCAGCAAATTTGTGTTTCACTTTAATTTTTTCGTGTCCGTATAAATTTGAAACACACCTTAAATGAAGCAAAGATTAATATACTATGAATTATTTTTTATCTATTCACATTATTTAATTATTGTTATTACTGTATACATCAGGGATATTAAATTGTGGGTCGCGAAAATTTGACAATAGTAAAAGTTTTGTAGTGTTTGAGGCCGGGTCATCACCCTACGATACGGGAGACGGACCGTCGAATCAACGTCAATAAACAGGTGATATATTTCTTTGCGCGGATAAATTGAGTGCTGTAAGATTTAATTGTCATATTCCCGGTAGTGGATCGCGTGAGAGGGAGATTAAACAACACCGATTACAAAGTGAAAAGGCAAACGCTTCCTAGGAGGGTTGCAACTAGGACCGTGAGGCACACAGCTGCATCCTCTCTGAAAGGGAGGGAAAAAACAGAAAGAACGTAACCCAACCCTTCGAGGAGAAGGGGTTGGTCGGATTTAATTCTTTACATAAAAATAAACAAGCACATTATCTCATTAGTAAGCACATTTGCTTGTATCTTTAATAAATGGTAAAATAATATGTATACAAAAGAATTAATTTATAATTTATCACCAGTGATTTTACAGTCGACCACCTATAACACTGTTGATTATTCCGTTTTATATGAATTCCATGTTGTACGAGTCACTTAGATTTTACAAATACGTGAGCCGTTCACACCCTGTCACACGTATTTGTAAAATCTAAGTGACTGGTACAACACGGAATTCATATAAAACGGAAAAATCAAGTGTTATAGGGGAGTTGACTGTATTTGTATACCTATTTTATATACCTACATATGGGGTCACGTAAAATTTTCTAGGGTAAAAGTGTCTCGAATGGAAAAGTTTAAGCCCTGTTATATATGAATTATTCTTGATCATTTTAGTTAAATTTTTAATATCATCAGAAATGCTGAAGTAACTGCACAATTTGTTTGCACAATATTTCCATAATCCTTACATTAAATTCAAAATATTAAAATATTTCAAGCACAACTTTTTTGGTTTAGTTACTTAATAGCTAATTAAATGAAAATTTTTATAATTAATTTAATATTTGCCTTAATTTAAAATCATTAAATTTTCAGTTATCCATGCTAAAGACAAAAATAAAATCTGAATAAGTCAAAGTAGATGATAAACCAAAATTATGATTGTCTAACATTAGATAATTTTTAACACATTCATTGGTTAAAAATATTTTGTTTTATTTTTTAAAAACAGTAAATATACATAACTTTGTAAAAAAAGTTGTTGCAAAACTTAAAATAAAAAAGTAGGCTAAGTAATGATGAATTTATAAAATGTTGCAGTGTCATGTAATCATTTGTCACAATATAATGTTACAAAAAAAATCTAAAATATGTTTTAGCTGACAGTCAGAAAATAAGATCAAGTTAAGTTTTATTATTTAAATTTTCTCATGTTCTTGATCTTGAATATTTTCAGCTTTAACAATCTCCTCTCTGAATCTAGCAATTGTTTCTCTGGCAACCTTCAATCTTTCTTTCAAATCTGCAATTTCTAACCTTATCTTATTCTTTGCTGAAAGTATAGCAGAGAGAGTCTTTTCTTTTTTCTCTTCAACTGAAAAAGCAAAATAAATAAAATAAATTTTTACAAAGCTTAATATACAACAACACATATTCAATTAAACAATTGAAATTATTTTTAAATTAATTTTAAAACAAAATAATTGCTTCTGTAAAGTTTTAAAAGTGTGTAATTCCAAATTTGGGGAAGATTTGGTGTTGATATATTACAAAAATTACATACTTTAATCAATACACTTTCTGCCAAAAATAAAATATTAGTATTATACATGGTTAATTCAAAAATTTGAAAGCCCCATATCACTACACTTTTGCAAAAATTATTATTATTATTACACATGAATAGTTAAAAGTGTTAGATAACAAAACAAACATTCTTTTTAAATAAATATCAATTTATATTCTGTTTTATTTTATTTTGTTCCAAAACAATGCAATTGTTTTTAATTATATTGTATGTATTTAGCAAAATAACTACCATTATTACCTAAATTACAGTTTTTGTAGGTTTTGCAAAAACTTAGCAAATGTGCTTTGTATTATTATTTAATTTTAAACTTGGACACTTCCAAGTTTAAAATATAAGATATAATAAACTATTTCTTTCAATGAAATAATTTACTATATTTTAACTTTTCATTATTATATTATTATAGTGATATATATTAATAAAGTTATCTATGTAATAAAGTTACAGTATACAGTAATACCTCGACTTACACGATTTTCAAATCTCGTCGATTTGTCTTTTGTTTGAGCACCATGCAACTCTTGATTACTCACTCCACCAACACTATTGTTCAGCTTACATGTTCAGACGTGCTGCGCAGAATCGACACATAGCTACAATTTATTTTGAGTTATTTTTTTCTGTGTTTGTTATATCTACGGAGACTTGAGAGACAATATGTGGTGATTTCTTGTAACCATGAACAAATCAAAAGACGAGACAAGATTAACGAGAACATTTATTAGCTTACATACATCCGATTTGGATTTTACACAAACTGTGAAATTATACCCCAATTTACGCGGTTATCGCTCGGCCCCATCTATCGCGTAACTTCGGGGTATTACTGTATTTCAAATTTGGAAATTATTTTTCACAAACTTAACTGCAAGAATATTTTTAAAAACAATCATAAATTAAATATATAGAAGGTGATATAAATTCTAATTGTAAATATCCTACACTAAGATACTCACAATCTGTTTCATGCTTATATGGTCCTAATGTTAATTGTCGACAACTTGTCAACAATTGCTGCATCATAGCAGAAGGATCTTGAAATATCTTTAAAAAAATTTTTAAATTTTTTAACTAATCATTTTTTGAAATGTATACATATAAATACTTAAACATTCTTACCAATTCATCATAAAATTCTGAAACTAAATGCTTCTTCCCTAACATAATATTTGTTTCACTTTGAAACAGTTTAAGAATATGATAAAATGTAACCTAAAATAATAAACATTTATTATATATTAAATTTTATATGTAACTAAATTGAAAATTTTAAACACAAGAAAAAAATAATAATAAATGCAGATAGTATTACTTATTTTTGGTGCAGATATAATGAAGGAATTTTTTAAACTAAACAATTATTATATGAAGATGATGAAAATTCTCATATAACCCAATAAATTCATTTATCAGAATTATCTCATGATGTGCGATTTTATAATGATCTTTTCTTATGACATTATTTTTTCAAAGAAATTGTCAAACTGCATTTTGACAATTGCATTATCATTTATCATTACGTAAGATATTGCATTATCCATTCATCATTACATAATAGCAATGGCAATGTCTTCAACCTGTTGTGATTAGGGTTTCTCATTTCCCGGTCTTAGTCATTTGCTTGTCCTAGGATTTCAAGAAAAAGTGAAAAATTTCCCGGGATATAATTAATTATTTTTAAGATATAAAAAATATATCAAAATCGAACGATATAATTATTTTTCATTTTTTAAAGTAATTTAATACATTCTGCAACCTCCAAAATAATAATATTTTAATAACACTGTGTAAAATATATATTAAAAGTTACATTTGAATTACATAGAAATTTTCACAAATAGAAAAAATTTATTAAAGTTTGTTGGAAACTGTTTACAAAAAAAAAATGCCTTTGAATTGAATTGAAAATTTAAAGAAAAAATGCACTTATATCAAACTTCTAACTTAAAAAGTAATTTTTGTTTTTTAAATAAAACATAATAACAAATATTATTGTAAATTTTTATATTAATATTTTAAAAAGCAAAGATGGTCAATACTCTGATCACTCAATCTGGTTCTTAATTGTAATGAAAAGTCCTGCTACCGAGAATGCCCTTTCCAATTCAACGGATGTGGGTGGAATCGTCTTTAATGCATTTAAGAAAAGACAGATGTGTTTTTTCACCTGTAGCCTCAAAGACTTCAAGTTCATTTTCAAGATGCATTGCAGTACTTCTTTTGCTGTCTAGTATTCTTGATTTGACTACCTCAGCTGCATTAATAGTGGCATCAAGCTTATGGCTCGATAATTTAGTGGTTCTTTTGGCTTTAATTATCAGGTTTATGAACTTCATACTCGTTTGTATTCTTATCCAATTTGCACAACCTGGCATTATGCAGTTGTTGAAGCTATTGGGCATAATTAAAAATTAAGACAGCATCAGCACAATTATTCAAGATATTACAGGTTCCAACAAGTAAAGAATTTTCAGTGTCTTGCCACAGATAGGCTACATATTGATTATTGACAATCTGTGATATGCCACAACAAGCAAAAATTTAAAAAACTAATAAGCAGGCTTAAAATTAATAAATATAAATGTATTCTGACAGTTTATGAGTTAATTATAATATCTATTTGCAAAATTTCTTCAACCATAACACAAAATAAGAAAAAAGTGAATTTTTAAGAAATTTATTGAGTTTTCCCAGAATGAGAAGAATTTCTCACAATATTTCCTGTGTTAAAAAAACAGCTGGGATCCCGGGATCCTGTTAGAGAAACCCTAGTTGTGACAAATCATTTTTCATCTTCCTAGAGTCACTTCTAAACATCTGATTTCCCCAAATCAAGCACTTATTCTTCTAGTTATATGGTGTCAGTAAATTTGTAAGTGCCTACATCATTAGAATTCCAAAATACAACAACAACATTTTTTGATACTTTTCACAAGCAAAAGCATATTCAGGTAAGATGAACAGCTATCATATTTTCATTATCAACAAGATTATAAAAAAAGACATGAGATGTTTCATGCCAATCATTAATTGTTTATAGATGTGATTGGTGTAAATATACTTTTTCTCTGCAACATCAAATTTCTCTTGTTGATTTTCGAAATTTTTTTTTGTAAAAACCACTTTATCTTCCAAAGAATATTTTTCTTCAGTTTGGTTACATTTCTCAGCAGATGACTTAGAATAGACATTTTAATTATGATTACTTTGAATATACTGTATATATTAAAAACCCCATCCAGTTAAAGATAAATACACATGCAAATATTAATTTAAATATAAATTTATATTAAAAATGACATAATTAAAAAATAATTTTACAATAACTTACTGGTCTTTCATTTGGATCATGAAAATATATTTTAATGACAATTTCAAATTCTCCCCAACCAGTTTCTGTGACTTCATAAGGTGGTTTTGTAACAACTGAAGTATATATATTATAAAATAAAACACATTAGAATTTTTTTATGCTAAACTGTAATAATATTAGTAATAATAATAATATAACTAATAAATTATACAATAAATTCCTAATAAAAATTCGGTACTTATGGGTTAAGAGGACGCCAGTCGGAAATAGCAATCAAAGTCGCGATTTTGAATGAAAATATCAAAATAACAATAGATTAGTAAAGTTAAATCTAAAACGAAGAAAATTTACTGATAAGATTGTAAAAATGAAAAAAAAAAAAAAAATCAATTAGGATGATTATAGATATCACCTACTTGCCATTTTTGCTGTATACACTACAAAACAATTTGCATATTATTACAGTAGAGCATCGATTATCCGACTCAATTGGGGACTCGGGTTGGTCGGATAATTGAAAAGTCGGATAACCGAAATGTATGAAAAAATCCATTATTAGTGTAGTATATTATTATATCCCATGTAATTAGTATATTAATATATTAAGTTACTTCGCGTTGAATTTTCCTCCATGTTAAGCCTATCAATTTAAAAAAAAATAATAATAATAATCGTCGCTATTATATCGTTAAAAATTATAAAATTAAGCCTCGTTTAAATACTGGCTCCCTTTCATGGTCGATCCAGTGTTGCCAGCTAAAACACGTAAAAATAATATTAAAGTAGCCAAGACATAGCCAAATATTGTAGCGCCACATCACTAGCGGACATTTGAATTTGCTGACTAGAACGCGGTCGGTTAACCGAGGTGACGGTTAATAGGGGGTCGGATAATCGATGCTCTACTGTATTATATATTTATTATTAGAATTTGTGAGATTTTGTTATATCTTTATAAATCGTAATTTATTGTTTAATTTAACAATTGTATTAAATTTGACAAATAAAAAATTGCATTATTCGGAAAAAAACACTATTTCCGACTGGCGTCCTCTTAACCCATGAGCCAAGATGGTTGCCGAAACAGGTAAGGATCCGACCACGTGTTTGTTCAGTGCCTGAGCCGATTCAGTTTCTATCGGTGACGACTACTACGAGGACCAAATGGAGAACAAATCATTGAATTTATGTCAAATTCTAGACTATCTGTATATCGGCGACAGGAAACGTCCCGATAACAATAAATCCTACTAACTCAACTCTGACCTGGGTAAACATACTATTGGCAGTAGCGTAGCGTAGGGGGACGGCAAAATTTCACAATAAATAATAATAATATCTTGTAAAAATTTAAACCATTTCATTTCNAAAAAAAAAAAAAAATCAATTAGGATGATTATAGATATTACCTGTTTGCCATATTTGCCATATATACTACAAAACAATTTGCATATTCAAGTGGTTTATTATAAGAATTTGTGAATTTTGTTATATCTTTATAAATCGTAATTTATTGTTTGATTTAACAATTGTATTAAATTTGACGAATAAAAAATTGCATTATTCGGAAAAAATGTTATTTCCGACTGGAATCCTCTTAACCCATAAGTACCAAAAATTCAATAAACTAATTTATCTTAAAATGGTCTTTCAATCATAAAAATGTGAGATTAATTAAAATGAGTTAAATAATAAAACAATATTCTTACAATTTCTAGTTCTTTTTTTCTTTTTAGGATTTTATTCTCTTATAGCTATGTATTATTCAGCTATTAATCTGGCTTATCCTGGACTTATCATATTGCAATTTCTTAATTTAGTTTTTTCTTTATATATATATATATATATATGTGGCTGCTGTACCCTGTACGTTTGTAGTTGGCATNCTCTTTTTAAAAAATAAAAGAAAAACCAAGTTAAGAAACCCATATGATAAGTCCAGATTAACAGCCAAATAATACATAGCTATAAAAAAGTAAAAATGTCAGTTCAACTGTTGTCTATAACAAAAATATTGTTTTATTTTAAAGTAACAATAAAAATATAATAATAAAATCTTAATCTTCTTAAATTAAAACTTTATTTATATTTTATTCATTTAAACTAATAATTCCAGGACATCAAAGTTTATTAAAATCACAAATGTAGACTATCCAAAATGATGTCTTGACTTGTCCTTTTTGAAAAGTTTATGTTTTGGTTTCCCTTAATATAAGTATTTACATTTACATACCAGGTGTATAAGCTTAAATCCGCTGTTTGCTAATAGATGGCGTAAGTGAGCGTATTAAGTTACCATGATGACGCCATATTGTTTTTTTGATGATTTTGACGTCTGTCAACATTAATCAGTGCACATCATCAGATATTTCATACAATATATATTTTTTTTTTTGTAATCATGTCTACTTTTGTGCCAGAAAAAGAGCATATGCGGCAAGCTTTGTTTTTCTGCTTTAATTTGAAGAAATCGGCTGCTGAAGCACATCGAATGCTTGTGGAGGCTTATGGAGACAGAGCTTTATCAGAAACCATGTGCAGAGATTGGTTTCGTCAGTTCAAAATGGAAATTTTTACCTGAGCAACAAGAAACGTGAAAATCGGCCCAGGAAGGTTGAGGACCATCAACTGCAGACTCTTTTGGATGAGGACGATACCCAATCGCAAAAAATGCTTGCCGAGCAATTGGGTGTTACTCAACCAGCCATTTCCATGTGTCTACGTGCCATGGGAAAGATTCAGAAGATTGGAAAATGGGTGCCGCATGAATTGAACGATAGGCAGATGGAGCGACGCCAAAACACATGCGAAATCTTGCTCGCCAGACAAAAAAGAAAGTCGTTTCTGCATCGGATTGTAACTGGCGATGAGAAATGGATATATTTTGAGAATCCTAAACGCAAGAAATCGTGGGTTGATCCAGGCAAACCATCAACATCTTTCCCAAGACCAAATCGCTTTGGACGGAAGACAATGCTGTGCGTTTGGTGGGATCAGCAGGGTATTGTCTACTATGAGCTGTTGAAACCTGGTGAAACTGTCAATGCTCACCGCTACCACCAACAACTGATCAAATTGCACTGTGCTCTGCGTGAAAAAAGGCCGGATTATCAGCAAAGACACGACAAGCTGATTTTCCTCCACGACAATGCACCATCGCATGTGTCAACATTGGTCCGAAACTACTTGGAGACACTCAACTGGGAGGTGCTACCCCATCCCGCTTATTCACCAGACCTGGCCCCTTCCGACTATCACCTCTTTTCATCGATGGGCCACGCGCTTGCTGAGCGGCACTTCGATTCTTACAAAGACGTCCGAAAATGGCTTGATGAGTGGTTTGCCTCGAAAGAGAAGAAATTTTTTTGGCATGGTATCCACACATTGCCCGAGAGATGGAACAAATGTGTCACTAGTGAGGGAAAGTACTTTGAATAAATTTGTTTTTGCTTTCTAAGAAAAACGTGTGTTTTTCTGACTAAAAAATAGCGGATTTAAGCTTATACACCTATGTACTTAAATCTATATATATAAAAATTAATGTGTGTGTGTGTGTCTGTCCTTCATGCATTACCACACTGTTTATTCGATTGCCGTGAAACTTTGCGAAGTTGTTTAATATACTCCCGTGAAGGTTTCTGGCATAGTATGATTGCCATGAAGCTTTGGGAAGTTTTTTAATACACTCCCACGAAGGTTTCTGGCATAGTACATTTATTCTACAATAGATGGCGTGCATTTATACGAGCATTTCACTTTGTGTTCAATCAATTTCAAATTGTGAAGGCCATTTTCCCCCTTCAAAAAATATTGCTATATATGTATTTGTGAACTGTTACTTACGATATTTGTAATAATTTTTGTTTAATCACTTTATTTCAACCATTTTTGCTAATTATGTATTCATTCAAACTTCGTTAAAACCTTAACTGTATCCCAAACAACAACCGAAGTTGTAGAAGGAAATTTGCCTATTTTACCGATCTAGGGATCCCCTTTTCCAAACTTTAATATCAACTCAAAATAATTTAAAAAGACAAATTACAATAAAACAGTTTATTACCCAACTATCAGAAATTTCACAACATGCAAAGGAAGAGAGAAAGGAGCAATTAAATAATCAAAATTATAAAGGATTAAAAAAATATATAAAAATGGGGAATATTGCACTTCTGACAATCGCTGCAAGTGTGTGGGCTCCGTGCTTCTCACATGGACAACTGTATGTGGCCAGCTCACGTGTCGGAAAACCTGATTTATTTGTGTATGCACCAGACAGAAAAACAAAAAATATCATGTATCCACAAGCACTCCAATAAATAAATAGAATTGAAACGACACTTTGAAACATTTTCCCAACGAAAATGAATAATAATAATAAGTTTCAATAAAAATGATAAAATGCAAATTGATAAAAATGATAAAATGTAAATTGAATTTTATCATAACGAGTTTGCTTGAATTTCCTTTCTTCTGAAATTGCAGCAATGCGCGATGGGTAAGCTAGTTATAACATAAAAATTTTATTAATTAAACACATTACCTCTATTTTGATTGGCATAGCTTTCATGTAATTTAAAATGTACTTTCTTCACATATGTTGACATATCCTACAAATTAAAATATAAAAGTTTAATAAATATATACAATATATAAAAAAAAATATATTCAACTTGCATAAGGAAAACTTGTAACTTGCCTCATTTCTGTATGGTTTCACATAAACTGTCCACTGATGTGTATGTCCATCTTCTTCACGTTTTTTTCCAAAATAACGAGCAACATTTCCATATACTATAGGTTTTACAATTGTCACACCCTAAACAAATTCAATTTTGTAATGTACTGGTATTATTCTTATGTAAAACTATTTATGTATTAATAATATATCATAATATATCTATAATACAAACTTTAAAGTACTATCACTTTAAAAATTTAAATGACAAATTACCTACATTTATTCTATTAAAGTTCACATTCAAATTTAACTTATTAAAATTAATACTTGCATATCAAAAAATATTCAAAATGAACTGTTTTCATCAATCATAGGCATATTTTTTTTGTTTTATTCTAAACTTTTTTATCTTGTCAACTCTAAGACAGGTAAAGAAAGGGCAACCTTTCTATAGTAAAGAGTAATATAACACTGTTTTGATGTGAGAATGTGTCAAAATGTTAAAAACATCAGATGTTATGTAAATTATATGTAAAATCTGATTATATGTAATATTATAATATAAACAATAAAATTATTATTTTTGTTCATTTAAATATTTTAAATGAAAAATTTAAGACAAAACATCTGTATTTACTTAATTAAAGTGATAAATTTCAGGTAAGTGACTTTTTTTAATATTTAGGAAATCTTAGATGTTTAAACTCAATTAATAAAGCTTATTAATTATAATTGGTACACACTGCCAAGTATACTAGTTTTTGAAAGAAGTGTGAATACTCTAGCTAACTAATTCTCAAATTTATCATTCTGAGCTTAGAACAGGATTTCTTAAACTATAGATTCACATAATAGAATTTGAGAGTTGTGAATACTTTGGAAACTGTTTGGGAAGATAATGTTTCTGACAAAAATGTTTTAGGTCAAAGTGTCAACCTAAAACATTCCTGTCAGATTTTGGCTCCAATACTGGTTAGCAAAAATAATTACAAAACTAATTTGATTTAAAATTAAAAATTATGGATAAATAACAGAGAAATAAAACATTCATACATCTTTCCTCACTGTGATATGTTATTACTTTTACTTTCCCAGAGAAAGTGTATTGCAATCAGTCAAAAAATGACTCCTGAAGATTTTTACATTTTGGACTTAAGACCTTGAAACATCAAAACATGAAAAAAAATTCAAGGAGTTTTCTTCTATATGTATGGATGGTGTGGTGGGGCACAATTTTGTTCACCCTCTTTGAAGCTTAATAACTCCTGTGCTTATTGAAAATTTCTGAAATTTTACAGGGTGGTTTGTTTATTAGGGGATTTATGCTATTAAATTTTGGTAATTAAAGGTAAAGGGTGGAGATAAAGGGGGTTGTGTGTATCTTCAGTAGAGTCAGACTTAATGATGATTTTACTCATTATTAGCATTTACAATTTTTAATAAAATCCATCACTTTAAGCTTTCTTAAGCTTAAACTGATAGATTTTTAGGCTTTTTGGCATGTTATAATATTGTTATATTTTATTATCTAAATATATAAAATTGCTTGTCCTGACTGACTGACTCACTCACTGATTCATCATCACCCAGAGCAAACCGCTGAACCTAAAGAGGAGAAATTTGGTACACAGTTAGGGTATGTCATGAAAACGCACACTAAGAAGGGATTTTTAGAAATTCCCCCGCGGGGGTGAGGGAGAGCATTAAGGCTTAACCGGAAGAACGGCTTCTACTGTACTATTTTAGATGCGATTTTTTGTTTTCAACTACGTTTAGTCTTCATTGAGTACTTAGGTGTATTAAATTGATAACATTTCAGATATTGTTATAAATATTTTTATATATTTTTGCATTTTTAACCAAATGTTTGAACCGTTTTAAATTTGAATTTGTTATTGCATATTGGTTCGATTATAGAACGATTGATCAAATTGAAAATAGTTAGTTTGATTTTCGGCAATTCTCATTATTTTCAGCAGTAGGTGTTATATAACAATTACTATGATTGTTGAAATACTGAATATAAATGGGGTTTGCTTGCAAAACTACCGCGGGCGAAGTCACGGGTAACAGCTAGTATTATATAATTTTATATTTGACATATAAAATATTGTTATATTTTATTTAAAAAACTTTTTATAGTTTAATAGATGGTATCACCAAAGGTTGTTGGGACAATTAAGCAATACATTGCTGGATTTTTTCAATTATTTCTACTCCCTTAATCAGTCTCATTCTACTCCCATTTACTTTTCTCAAATTTTGCATTGCACATGCCATCACGTTAAGGTAATGCCAATATGCCAACAAAGTTTTGTGCTCTTATAGAAACGTAATATTTTAATTACTGAAAATAAAAATTTTAATAAAACTTTCTTGTTGTCATTTCTCAGCATGTAAGTGTAAACACTATTGTACCTCCTTGGATTGTATATTGCAATTAGGGATTGTGTTTTCCCAAACTTTTTGGATTATTGAGAATTGAGAATTCCTGAATTAGTAAAAAAAATTTTTCTTGAGAATCAAGACGTGCTTTTTTAAATTTTTAAGAATCTTCAGATTTAAAAAATTTAACTTATTTATAAAAGCCCTGGATTAATTACAAAAAAAAATGATGCAGAAGAAACCATACAAAGTTGGACTAGAAGATATAAGATTATTGTCTCATAATTGCCTTTACTTAATTTTTTAAATATATTAAAAATTAATTTTGTTTCTACATTTACTAAAAATATGTATTAAAATAATTTCTTGATAAACACAAACAGTCTGTTGATTTTCTGATAAACAAGTCCTTTGTTTTGATACAAAAATTGGAGAAATTCCTTTCATTTTTGCTCTTTTCCACTTATTTTGCTATTGATTTCATGCAAAATAGGGCATTTTTACCCATGGCTTCATAAATATTTATTTCCTGAGATAAAGAACTGAAACCACTCAGTCATTTTGATTGGTGCCCAAGCTTTATATTAATAGAACTGATTCTTCTAATTCCTGAGACAAAATTCATACTTAAGATCTTTACTCTTATCACTGTGTGTATGAAGTGGGCTAAAGAATATTATTTAAATTCTCATTATCATACAATCTTTTCATTATGCTTTTTGCTATATTTGTTATATTCTTTTTCATTTTCATCACTGATGATTGTAAAATCAAACTTTAATGATAAATATTGAAAAATATTGACAAACTCTGAAAAATGTTGAAGATATCCTGTGTCCTTCAGTATTAAATATTCAGCCAAGATTTAATGTTTCATGCAAAAATAAACAAGCATATCCATTTCATTAGTATGCAAATTTGCTTTTTATCTAATAAATGGTAATAAGTGGTAAAATTATAAGTATAATAAAGAATTGTTTGAAATTAAATTTCTTTAATTTATCATCAGTTTATATTTTATCTGTATATATATTTCATATACAGTACCTACATATGTGTATACCAGGGTCATGTAAAATGTTCTTGGGCAAAAAGCAGGCATAAATGGAAAAGTCTAAGAAGCTCTGGTTTAGAATTTTTGTTCAATAGATACATAGACTTATTATTAATTAGTTATGATGTAAATACATTTAAAGATTTTGATAGTATATAGGACATAAAAAAACTCAAGGAGTATAGGTCCTCATGCCTGCTCTAAGAGTATATTTTAATGTGCTTGTAATAGGATAGTTAGGTAGTAAAGGATGGAGTTGGACACAATCAGGCCAAATCATAGATGCAAAATTCCTAAGGATACAGTCTGGATTCAAACCTAAGTTCTAAAACAGGAGACAGACTTCTTTGCTATTTCAGCCTTCTATTACACTGTATTAATTAAATTTAATATGAAATCTCTTTATTGAGAACAATTAACTTTATGATGATTACAAATTTCAATTCATTGTTAATATTTTTTCTTTAAAAATTTAAATTATTTTACTGTCATAAATTATTTAGAAAGACTTCATTTAAAACTGAGAAGCAGACATTATATTAAATTAATGTCTTGGGCTTTTAAATTAAAAATTAAATACAAAAATAATTTATATTTAATAAGATAGTTTACTATTACATTTCAATGCAATGTATTGTTTACAACAAAAAGACCAATAATAAATTGTGATTATTAAATGTAAAATATCTGATATAATAGACTAATAAATTCTTACTATTCATTAGTTATTTAAGTACCATCAACTTGATTTCAACTTCTGGTGACATGGTCTACAATTTGAAAACTGCAGCCCAATTACAATCACAATAGAAGTATCAATGTAGAGATAATGTTTAATAAATTGCACAGTTGCATTAAAAACAAATAGAATTACAGCTAATGAATGATGGCACAATAAAAATGAAAAAAGAAGCAAGCCATCTACCTAATCAGTGTGTATATGAGTTTTAATCTTGTCATCCTCAAAATTAGAATGTTTTGTTCTTTTAAATATTGATCAGCATTCATTTTAACAAATATTTTATCTTTTAAATGGGAAAAGGCATAAAATAAAACAACTTATTGTACCAAATTTTCATCTTCAAGTATTATAAAGCAGGGTCATACTATAATCCAAAAAAAATTTTTTTTGTTTTTCATTTTTAAACATCTAGCAGTAAATTTAAAAAATATAAGCATCTGAATTTACAAATCTTAATGATAAACTTAAGGGACAATTTAGCAGAAAATTGTATTATTATTATTATTATTAAAAATAGCATATTATTATTTAGTTATTTAAATGAAAAAAATTAATTATTTAAAAAAACAAAAAATTGAGAAAAAGTACTTTCATTCTTCCTCCAGAATCTGGTCCAAACTCTGCCATTTTTGACTTTATCATTGCCATTCAAACAAGAAAAACTAGAAAAGAAAAAATATTAAATAGAAATTATGAAAATATTATATAGAAAGAAAATACAAATTTTTAAAAATAAAACATTGCAGAAAATTTGTTCTATTTACAATTTTTATACATAAAAAATTGATTCATTATTTTATACTATTTTCTCAAATATACACATCTATTATTAAAATTAAAAATAATAATAATTATTAACACAAATCAGCATTGTACATTATAAAATCTACACTGATTATAATTAAATGATGAAAAACAATGATAAAATAATTTTTAATTATCTTGAAACGTTAAAAACTAAACATTTAAAATAAATAAATTAAACTGAAAAAATTTATTGATAAGTAGTTTTGATAATGTCAACTTATCTTCACATAAGTGAACAAAATGGTGTGTTACACTTAATTAATGGCTTACAGAACTTCTTCACTCAGAATTTTCCTATTCAACCTTATCCATATCTTTATCCTCAGATTCAGATTTGCTGAAAATCTTGAAATACTATTTTTCTGAATGTAGGTTGCTTTTCACTATTTTTTTTACTCTGAATTCCATTACTTAAATGATATAATAATTTCTCATTTCTCAAAATATAACAAATTATCTCATTATATTTCAATTACATTAGGTTCTATAAACAAATAGTGATTATAAAAATTATATATTACATTTTGAACTATGATAAATATTTAAAAACTATTTTATATCAGCAATAATAAAATGTAATGTTCTAGTATTATGACAATAACTTATTATCTGATAATAAATTTATAACTTCATTATCTTTCAAAAATCACTTATATTCCAATCTGAAGCAAAATATTTATTTGACATAATTAAATTTTAATTATAAAGATATCTTATTTTGAGAAAAGTGGTATTTTCTTCAAAGATTATAACCATTAATAACTACTTCCAGATGAAAAACAGAACATAAATCAATTACAAAGAACAAAGCATACCAAGTCAAATTAAGTTATTTTCCCTGCATTTCATAAATAATAATAAAAACCAAAAAAATTAGCCATAATTATAAATGTCATTTTTTGACTTCCTACAAAGAGGATGGACAAATACAGTTCTAACAGTTCTAATAAAAAAGTTAAAAAATATGTCTACATATAACAAATTAAAATTACTGCAAGAAACATATCAAACATAAATACAGTTGAACCAGTCCATCTTGAATTTCACAGGAATAAGAAAAGAAATCTAGCAACAAGTTGCTTAACTTTTCCAGCAACATTTAAAATTTTGGTGGCACCATCTGTTATTAAAATACTTTTATATTTTAATTATTGCAAAAAGCTTAATCTTGAAAATAGGGATGAGTTTTATAAAAAACTGCAAATGCTAATAAGGAATAAAATTGTCATTACATTGACCCTACTCGAGATACAACACATCCCCCTCTATCTCCCCACCATATTGACCTTTAACCACCAAAATTTAATAGCATCAATCTCCCTAATACACACGGATCCTTGCAAAATTTTAGAAATATTTGATAAAAAGCATAGGTGTTATTATGCTTCAAAGAGAGTGAATAAAATCATACCCACACACACACACTAACATCCATGCATACAGGAAAAACCCCCAAATTTTTTTGCATTTCTCAACAATTCAAGGTCCAGAATCCAAAAATGTAAAAATCTTGGGGGTCATTTTTTGACCGATTGCCATACTTTCCCACTGTTATATATAACAGAGATGGGAAAGTAAAAATTTGAAACAGATTTTGAGATGTTGAAGTTCCTATACAGTAGAGTAATAGGCATGATTGAAGGTACCATTACTGTATTTTATTAATACAAAAGTAAGTACAGTACATTTCTGTATCAGATATAAATAAAACATTTTGACATACCTTAACAGAAATACTTCTTCAATAGTTTCTAATGGCCAACTTTCTTCAAGCAATAAAATGCAAGCCAAGCTTATAGCCAGAGAAAAGCATTAATTGCAACTATATATTGTATTGCAAGATGTTTCTCAACTACAGTTTATGTTATCAAAATGTCACTGAGCTTTGAAATTGTAATTGATACTTCAGTCCATAATTTGAGAGGATTTGGGAAAAAATTATTTGAGATAAACATGGAAAATATATTGAATTTATTGTGAATTTGTCTCTTTAATCCGATTTTCAGTTCGGTAGACTATCATATACAGCATTCAGGTTATGAATTTCCTTTATTGATTTGTTATATGCATTTCGGACTCAATTGTAATTTAAGTCCCTCTTCAGTACAAACTGTTTAAAAAATTTTATATACAATTACTTAAAAATTATATACAATTAGTGAGATTACAAAAAAAATTTTCGCGTGTAGATAATATTTACTGACACAAAACCATTAAACAATATACGTTACCTCAGATTCTGTTTTCTAAAAACTTCGGTGTATAATTGGTAACGTTGTAAAAGAATAAAAATACAGCCATTTAAAAAACACTTCAACTACATATTCACATTAATACGTTGCATCTAATCAGTAAATATTATCTACACGCGAAAATTTTTTTTGTAATCTCACTAATTGTATATAATTTTTAAGTAATTGTATATAAAATTTTTTAAACAGTTTGTACTGAAGAGGGACTTAAATTACAATTGAGTCCGAAATGCATATAACAAATCAATAAAGGAAATTCATAACCTGAATGCTGTATATGATAGTCTACCGAACTAAAAATCGGATTAAAGAGACAAATTCACAACGAAAATAGCAGCAGCCATAAGTGATTTTCTGAAATTATATTGAATTTAAGCTGAAAATGCAGGAGAAAAAATAAATTTTGAGTTAAGTATGTTTGAGATAGACAGGTTCAACTGTATAGCCTGGATTAATTGCAAAATCTCATATTTAAACAAATAAAACATCTTTATTCAAAATCAAAATATTTCGTGTCATTTTTATTTATGAAAAGTATTCACTCTACATACAAGACTACTAAACAAATCAAATTTCATATTCTTTTATACAACTCATCACAATTTATTCCTGAATAATTAATAAAGAACATCTACAAAATTCTACATTAAATCTAATTTTAGATTTATATAATTCCAATAGGTAATACAGTAACATGAATAAAATATTTTTAAAGTTTCAGACATGTGTATTCATGTGAATTACACATCTAGAACTTTATATATGAAGCTAAAAAAATTATTTCATAATATTAATGCACAATATGATTGTAACATAATTGATTTTACTGAAAATGCTAGAGAAAACAAAATTTAGAATAATAAGAGAAATACACTTAAATAATAAGGATAAAGATTCCCTGCTTTTGTAGGGAAGTTTCTACCTAAGTACTGTTACAGAATACACAATAAATAATACAGAATGAGTAAATAATTTTTCTACCATTGTTTATTATTATATTTTTACTTTATAATGCAAAAATTATTTCAAATTTAGCCTATTTGATCTCTTATTTTGTAAGTGTAAGGTTTGTATTTATTTTTAAAGTGGACTTTTTTTTAATATTGAAGAAAAGTTTTTTATTTACAAAATCTAAACAAGTTTTGTTTTTTGAAGTTTGGTAAAAAAAAATTTGTTGATTTGAACTGATTTATCATTTATGGTTTTTCTTAAATATTGTAATTGAGATTTGGATGTTAATCAGATTTTTAACAATATAAAAAAAATAACTCCATTAATTAAATCTCATAAATAGTGTTTTTGAAGAGGAAATTTGATAATTAGCCAATGATTTACTCCTTTTAATGTTAGATTCAATCTGGAAAAGTAGATTGGTGACTCTGTGCTTTATAGAAATTATGACAAGGATCAGAAGTGGATACCCGGAGCTATTTCTAATGTGTTGTAACTTGTTAAATATTTCCTCCTGAAGAAGACAATGCATCATCATCAAAATCAAATAATTCTTACCAAAATATAGATTGATGATGCAAATATTAAACCAAACATCTTTGATGGAATCAACACACAACAAAAGACCAATGACTGTTTGCCATCCACCAAAACATCTTGAAGATTTTGTATCTAACAGGGGAGAAATGTTTATTATGTGGAATCCGACGTCCTTTGTCTAGCCAGTGTCACACGTTTAAAACGGAGTGCAATAAAATAAACTATCTTAAGGAGTTAACTTCTCTATGTTTATTAACTAAATGCTGAGTTTCAAATTAAATATTTATGAATTTATTCAATAAATTATTTTATCAAAAAAAACCTACATTTAAATTTGATAGTTTCTCATTTTTATAGATAGAAACAAAGTGTTTTCTATCTACACATGGATATATTTATGTTATCCGCCATTTTGGAAAGTTTGTAACTGGCGACATCTAGATAGTATCAGTTTTTTTTGTGTCATTAAATTCTAAATTTTTAAAATAATTATTCATTCACCATTTAGTTTAGTTTTTTAAAATAATAAATCATTTTTAATGTAAAATGAAAATTAAATAATAATTAAATTATACTTATCTACGTTGTAGTTTAATCTTCGCTATCGTTACTTTTGCCTGAGCAACGCCGGGCCTACCTGCTAGTACAAATATAAAATTAAAAAAACAATAAAAGTATGTAAATAAAGTATATTTCATATAACAAATAAATAAAGGATTTAAGAATGGAAATTTCTTTAACAATAAATTTTTCAAATTTTACGCTCATAGTTACGCTTTTTCTTTTTTACTAAGAGGGCCTCTTATAGCAGCCCCATTATAGGTTCGGCCAGGCCCACAATGGAGTGACCGAGTGGGGAGGGACGGGGCCCGACCTATCCGAATGGATCAACCCCCGAAAAATTCCTGGGGATTCCTTGAACCCGTCAGGATTCGATCCCGGATCTCTCAGAGCGGTAGGCTGCCACCTTGACCGCTCGGTTATCCGACCTTTTCATAGTTATATTAGGACACTATTATGGCGGAACAAAAAGAAGCAATCCTTGCATTTCTTAGGTACAGAAGAGGCGATCCTTGTACTTGATGAACGCGGACAAGTGAACTTTGCACTTGCCGCACAAAAGAATTTAATGGAAAATGGCAAAGTTTCATCAAAATCGGCTCATAAAATTTTGAGAACAAACTCAATATTGTAAGTCACATAGAAGAGGGTTTGCTAACGCTCCACCTCAAAAATGACAAAAATATACAAAACTGGAGATAGAACAAAGTGGTTTTCGGTCAGCGATATTGCTTTATAAATAGTAATACAAGTAACAGCTAAATAATTCTTATCTTATAAAACATCATACACTTCTTCAAGTATAATTAATTAATTTTACTTTTCCGGTTATTATGTATATAAGATAATATGAAAAGCGTTGTAATCTTGTCAAATTTTACCTTCGAGTTTCTGCAAATTGCGACGTTTTGAGACCATCTGTACCCAAAAAAGTAAAACAAACATGGGAAAAATTTCATGGATGTGTGTGTTTTCATCTATTTCATTTAAGATCTCAGGATTGGGTAAAAATTAAAAAGCGAAATTTAGCATGGTAACTTGTATATAAGGGGCATTTATCCTATTAAATTTTGATGGTTAAAAGTCGAGGGAACGAGGAAATAGAAGAGATCACGTGTCATATTTCAAACTTGTTTTATTTGTTATTAGCATTTACAATTTTTTAGATATCAATTTCTGCATTATTAATTTGCCTTCGTATAATAATTAATAATATAAAAGTAAATAAATAACAGTAACATATATAATAAAAATAACATATATAATAAAAATAACATAAATAATATAAATAACATTTCATAACAGATGGCATTACACAATTTTTTTACCCTTAAGCTAATGTTTTTTTTTTTTACGAAAAAGTTATGTAACTCGTTGCTGGATTTTTCTAAGACGATTTACAATCGTAATTTTTTCGAATTACAAAACTCAAATTTTTAAATTTAAACAAAAAATAGATTAGATCGGAGTCTTTTGATATACAAAATTACAATGATATAACTGAGTAAAATTTTTAAAAACTTCATTTCTGCAAAAATAAAACTTTAATCTCTCTAATAAAATATTTTTATATACAGTATGTAACTTCTGAAAGGCAATGAAATTAAATTTTAAATTATTTATTTATCAAAAAGAGTGATAAAATTATTATTATTTTATGTGCTAATGAAATAAATATTTGTCATTTTTTCTGCGATTTAATTAATTTGTTTAAAAATGCGTGTATAAAAAATTGATTTTTAATAAAATTTCTTTATATTCTTTATCATTTTTAAGTGATAGATTAATATAAATTAATTGCAATTAACTATTGATCAATTTTGCATTTTCTTTATTATTGATACTTTTGTAATTTAGTTTAATAGTGTATTATTGTAAAATTAATATAGAATATGATAATCTTTGATTATAGTATAACTCTCAAAAATGAATTTATTCTAAAATATAATGTTAATATAATGAAATCAATTTCACGTTTAATTCAATTAACTTTATTATAATAATAAACTCCATTAAATAGAGTAATCTGAAATGAAATGTATCGTTTTAAAATAGATAATCAATTTACTTTAGGAACTACAACTATGAAATTTAAAATAATAATAAAATTTATATAAATTATAATCTTATAACACTATGATCACTATTACTATGATACTATTCTTCTTATGCCAAGGTTTAGAGATGAACCATTCATTTCCTCAAATAAATTACGAATTGAAAACAAAAATAAAATGTTCAGTCTTTATACAAGTTAATTTTACAGCCAACTTAAAAAAAATACATATACTGTTTAATTTAATTCAACTAAATAACTAAATGTTAATTTGTATGATATAATATTTTAATATTATTTAAATTAAGTTTTTTTATTTGATTTTTTTGCAATTATACCTATTTTTAAGCATTTATAATCACCTTAAAAGTAGTTCTAAATGCATCATTTTAAAATAAAGCGATTAGTTATATATTAAGACATTAACTTTAAATTATAAAAAATAAAATTTATATATCCTTAACTATGTATCTATTAAATGTATATTTTATTTTTAAATAATTTTTCGAAGCATTCTTTGAATTTATAAATAAATTTTTAAATTAATCTAAAATCATCATTACTGATGATCTATAATCTTTCTTCTTTTACCTATATTTTATTAACAAATGATAAACGGCCTATTTTAATAACATATTAAATACAATCAAACCTCGATATAGCGCCTTCCTAAATAGTACCATCGTCGTAAAGCGCAAAATGAATGCGTGTGAACTGACTTTCTCCGTAAATATTAGTCTTCTTTAGCATCTGTGAATTACTAAATGTACGATTTTACATTAAAAGCGGCAATGTTGTCACCAAATCAAGTGATTTTCAAACTATAAAACTTATGTGAAAACCCATACAATTAAATAAAATTTTTATTGTTTGAGAAACTTCAGTATTAACCACACTTGATTTAGTGCCAATTTCAGATGGCGATAAAGAGGTTTGTTTGTAATTATTATTTTAAGTAATTATTTTAAAAATTCTTATAATCAAAAAACATCTCACACGTAGTGATCAAAGTTTATTCTGTTCATTTCAAATGTAACTTAAAACATTTTTCTTGTAATTTTTTAATGTCTGAATTTGCTTTTGAAAATGTAATTAATGAATAAAATGATGATTAAAATTAATCATTTATAATTTCCTCAGATTTTTATTTGACGAATAAAAAGAACAGAGACATTTTTATTAATAGTTAAGAACAACGGAGAGGAAAACGACTTGGTTTCTTCTGTGCTTTTATATTTTGAGTACCGTTCTGCCTTTTTAATTGAAATAATGTATATATTTTAAAAACTTTTTGGCTTATTATCAGTAAACTTTTTAAACTGTTTCAGATAATTTTGCAGAGGCGTAGCCTTTAATTAAAGATTGTTTCTGCGAAGGAACTGTTTTTGTTCCTGGTGATTGGACAGGGACTTCTGTATTTTTTATAGTTAAGAACAAATTTAGAATAAAGTTAATATTAATAGAAAAATCATTATATAATAACAGGAAAATAAATTCTGAATTTTTAAAATAAATTTGAATTTTTATAACTTTAAAAAAATATTTATTTAGTTATTGAAATATTAAAATCTTAATTAATTAAAATACATTTAATTAAAATTTTGATATTATTAGAAATGCAAATTCCTATAATGTTAATAAAAATAATACGATTTACTTTGCTATTTTTCATGTGCGACAATGTTAAACGCATGCAATAAACGCTTACAACGTACAATAAATATTTAAAATAAATGAAATAACAGTATTTATGCGCATTATTGGTTTTTTTTTAAGTTTGTTTATTGTATATAAGCGCCAGTAGTAATAATCAGCGTTCTCTTTCAATATTTTTAGATGTTAATTATAATGATTAATGAATATTGTATACTGATACTGCAACGACTTGCATTGTATCTAATGACCAAATTATTAGTATTTTTAAATTAATACGATGCGTATTCATAAAAATATTATACTGTAAATGCGTATTTACCGCATTGCATACTTCACTTGATTGGAAGTTAACATTTCAGTATTAAGCTTTTATTTTTATAATAATTACATTAAGATTTTTCAAATATAAATTAAATTTATTGAAACATAATAATTTACTAAATTAAAATTAAGTGTAAAATTCTTATTATTTAAATGTAACAATTTATTTTATCCAAAAGAGGGCGTTATTCGAATTCAAAATGGAAAGAGAATGGAGAAAAGAGAAAAAAGAAGATATTCCCAATAGCATTTACACGATAGTAATTACATATAATACATACGAAGATTACCTAGAAACTCAAATATCGGAAGAAAATCTTAAATACTTCGAAGACGAAGAGATTGCCAAGAAATTAGTGGAATTAGGATACTGGGGAACGGGCAAAGCCTTGAAGAGAGAGGAATTTTATTATTGGAAAAAATATGCAGAAAAATTAAGGAACGAAAATAGGAAAATCGTCCCTATCTATAAACCCAGAACGGAAACGTTTACTGACGAATTTTTACAGGCTTTAGCCGAACGAGAAGTACCCAATTTAAATGGTGATATGAGTAGCATATTGTTTCTTCGAACGATCAACAATAAAGGACAAGAAATATCCTCTTACATCGATCTAGCTCATAGATTAGAAACTGAAGATTTTCAACTTTATTTTTCTGGTAAGAGGAAACTTATTCCTCAATACGACGATCTCAGTTTCTGTAATTGGGTTACTCGTTATTGTGTTAAGAATTGCACTCCACATTACGATGTTATTGTCGAGAAACTAGAAGGGATACAGTTTAAACATACGGGTGATGGCTACATTATTACTGTTGCCAGTGAAAATCCCGGGGAAGATACATTTAAAAGAGTAATTCGCTCGCCAAGTTACTACCAAATTGTTTTCTATGATCATTTAGTTAGAAGAAAAATCGTTCAGTGATTGTATAATTATTTTATATTCGAAAAAATTATGAGATCCGAAATTCAACTAAATTATTTTCTACGTAAAATCTACTTTTTACTTTTGGAAATAAGTTTTTAAACAGTAGAATGTGAATTTGAAATAACCAAAACCTATTTCAGTTGATTGTTATTAATTTTATATATAAAGAAGAAAATAACTATTATCAATAAAAAAAACTTTAAATCGTTTATTTAAATATTTCCTACTTAATAAAGATTACCATTTAAAAAATTCGAGTATAACAGGAAACAATAATACTGTCCTAAATTATAAAATAGGTTATTAATATAGAATATGTAATTTTTGTTTTCAGTAGTGCTGCAAGATTTTAAAAACTAGATTAAAAATTTAATTAAGATCGAATATCAGATTGATCTATTTACTCATACATAATAACATTCTCGAGATTAGTAAAAGATCAGGAAAGTTTCTCTAATCCTGACGATAGCCTAGTTTAGCAGACGATGCAAAAAATTGATTAAATTTTAAAAATTTGATTAAATCAATCATTTAAGACTTATTCCATTCCTCAAATATGATCGTGTTTTATGTGGAGAAATGAAGAATAGATCAATAAAGTTTCACCAGTTCTGATATTTTACTAAACGTGCCGAGTAGATCAGATAGTAATAGAATGGTGAAGTTTCTAAAATTTGATTATGATCGATTGCATTTTATAAATTAACCAATCTGTTTTTCGTATCTGATCAAAAGAATTCATACCAATAAGAAAATGTACTTCATACGATCGATAAAGAACAAAAGATGTTCAACCATAAGAGCCATCGATTGGTTGTGTAAAACGGATTTTTCTTAAATTATGCCAGAAATTAATTTGCAGCATATTAAATTCGGTTATGAAAATAAAAGATACGCAAACAAACATTGGCAACTTTCCCATTAGAATCTGTAGTTTGAGAAGTGCTGCCATCTGTTGTGTCCTCAGCTTTGGTTTAGAGCAAAGGATAGATTAGCTGGTGGGTCTTACTGACAGGCTAGTGATGGAGCGGTGAAGATAAGAGGCAATTTGATGGTCAATGCTGTGATGAGTGAAAGTCTTCCAGAGAGCGGTGAGTGCTACGCAATGCTACCTTTTACACTTTTAGAGTTTACGACCGAAACAACGCATTAAGAAAAATGTAAACAGAATTTCTGCGCTTCTTGCATAGGATCCTTTAGTGTAGGTATTGACTGCATTGTTTTGTCGTAGAGCAAGATCGGTAGAGTAACGTTACTCAATGGTGGCAATGGTAAAGTACTTTGAAAAAGATTTCTTTGTTGTTTTGCTAATTGTTCCATGCTCTGTCGTTCCTTAAAGGATTTATTTTCTGGTAAGTAGTTATTTTGCGAAGTTGCCGCACTCACTGCAGATGATAGCGCAAAGATATGCGGTTGCATTTGCTACTGCAGAAGTAGAAGTTATGTTATGATCGAAACCAATGCTATCGAACGGAGTAAATTAACCTACTATTAATGAATTGGTTGCAATTATGCTCATTGCAGCTGCTGCGAAAGATGCGTAAAAATTAAAAATTTATATCAGTCGAAAGGTTAAAGGTTGAAGGAAGTTCGAGTTATGTTATGTTTTCTATAAAAAGTAACATTATATGATTAAATGGTTAAATTTAATTCGATGCATAAAACATTAGTTTTAGAGTACTTTCAATAACTGGATATTGTTGCTTGATGCAACTTCTTAAATTGATGCATTTCTTCAGGTAAAGCAATATGTTGTCCATTGCTTAAAAGGATTTTCGTGAAGAATCGTGAAACGTTTATGTAGTTTGCTCTATATAAACAAGCCGGAAAGAAATCGGTTAATATATATATATATATTTTATAAAAAACTGACAGAATGAAATCATTTTAACTTTGGTCAAATTCGAATGGATTCTTACCAGATAGTGTCTTAGATTGGATTTCAAAAGTTTTCTAAAGAAGCTTGTAAGAGCTTTTGCTGTTCTTTTATTCACTTAATGGATTTCTGTCATCATCTAGTGAAAGGAGAGAGTTGAACTTTGGATATTATCTGGTCTGAAAATGATTAAGAGAAATAATTCTTTGGTGTTTTTTTGTGAAATTGAATTTTGTTTACTTTATTTGTACACCTAAATAAAAAATGAATCGCGTAAAATTTTAAAGGAATGAGTTCAGTTCTATTATGGCAACTAAAATGAAAAACCAAGTGAACAAAAAAAAAATCCCTTAAATTCCTATTTTCCTTTATTTTAATATATAAAAAAACTTCTTATTGAAGTTTTTATGATATACTTCGTATTTAATAACTAGCATACGATTTAAAGTAATACTATATAGATTTAAAAAATTATAATTAGGATATTTTTAGTTTATGTTTTGTCTATTTTATTTGAAAATAATTAAAATATTTTTAATACTAATGCTTTAAAGAAAGAAGACTCACATGCCAACTTTTAAAATTTCAAGATCTATAAATAAACAAGATTTATGCTCAAGATCTACGTTATTAATTGATTTCAAACTCTATCGTAGAACATCCAAAAATCAATTTTGGTAGATATGATTCCGGATTTATAAATATAAAACATGTTAATGAATGAAAATAGAAATTAAAGGTATACTTCAAATTTTTTAGAACCTAAAAATCGTATACTTTACGAAGACGTTCCGGATTTGACCCTGTAGGAGGAAGAATTAAGTTGATGTTTTTTTTCTTTTTGTAAAAATCTCTACTTATAAAATCAATGGAATGAAAGATGGGACGTTTGAACTTAAAAAAAGCGTGAATTTCTTTTTTATTTCAAGATATATGAAGAGTACATGTACTTTTTAGTCAATAGGGAAGAGATATGGAATCGACCCTATAGACATCTACATGGTCGTGTCCTTCGAACAACTTTAAAGGTCTGTAAAGATATTAATACTGTAGTAGTACTTTATATTCTATTCCGTGCTACTCCTTAAGGGCTTAATACAAATTTAATCTTTTTTTAAAAAATAGCATTTTTTAATATAAAAACATTAGTTTTAAAATGGAATTGCAACTAACATACTAGCATTTTTTACATATATTTTTATATATAATTTAATTTAAAAATTATAGTTTAAAGCTGGAAACTAATTTATTTCCCAAGAAATTATTTTGATATATTTCTTAATTTAAGAGTTAAAGTAGTTTTGAAAATTTATTATATTACATTAAATTTAATAATTTTTGTAGAATTATCTGGTTTTGTTTGCAAATGTAATATACCTGCATACATAACTCTATCTACAATTTGAAATGCAAAGGTATTTTAAAATTTAAATATGGATTTTGGAAATAATACAAAGAGTGTTTTATTAATTCAATAATAAAAACCTTTTTATAATATGAAAAAATTGTTTAATGAATTTTGATGATTAAAAATTTGGACAGTAATGTTATTATACGGATAAAAGCGTAAGAAACATAAAAAATGATTAGTTACAATAATAGTATATGAGTTTCTAATACATATATTTTTTAATTTATCGATCCTAAATTAAAACAGATGTTAGCCAACAACATGCATAAATTTTAATTGAGGAAAAAATTTTTTAAATCCTAACCATTCACCTTTTAGATCTGATTTGACGTCACAGTCGTCGTCATGGTTACTATCCAGACCCTTGCTCTAAATATGCATCTCGTGACGTCTCCTACTGCAGCCCTTCAATATACGAAGATATAGTAGACCTTAGCTTAATTTTAATTTTTCTGAAAAATGAAGATTTAAGAGATTGAGGATTTTACAATAACTTATAAAATTCTTTCTTATCTCTGAATCATTAATGTACTTACTAGATTTATATAATACTTTATTCAAATACAGAACTTAAGATTTTTATCTCTTGTACAAAATTCCTATTTATGAAAATTAAAATTTTAATTTAAAAAAATTCAGTAATATGATTTTATATTTATATATATAAAAATTAATTTTAAAATTTAAAAGAGAAAATGTGCATACTTTTAAAGCACAAATTAAATTATAAATTCTAAATAAGTTTAATTAAACAAAAAAAAATTGAGAAATTTTAAAGGATTAAATGCATTTTAAACTAATAAACTGTAAAATAGATTTTTAAAAATTTAAATATATTAATTAAATTTTAATTAATTAACCAAATTTGAGGGCATAAAAAGGCATACTTATAACTTCAAAACGCACGTTTAGAACGTTTTAAATTATTATTATTTTGTTTTTGTTTTTAAACATAACAAAAATTAAACATAAATACTATGAAACGTTTAAATTGCGAAGAGTGTTTGGAAATAAAAGAGAAAATATTGAAAGTAAGAAGCAGTCCATTAAAGTCTTAAAATAGAATGAATGCTAGTTTATTCGTTAGGCAGTAAACAGTTTTGGATGGCATTGGGAACATATAGAGCTATCTATACACAGTTTGTATAGTGAGACGAGAATTGGTCGTTATTTTAAGAAGCACTCTGCTACTTCCAGTTGTGCATTTCGAAATATTCATTCATCGCTTCGCTTCGTTTACCTGGGATCGTCTTTGATATCGTTACACAGAAATCATTTTGTGTTTTTTTTTCTTATTAATTCAAGTAAAATGGTGAGTTGCTGCTTAATTCGATTGCTAAATTTCTCGTTTTAGATTTTCCTCGTTTATTTTATTTTATTATCTATACTTCAAATATATATATATACATTTAAAGTATCAAATGTTTTTGCAGTTTTTAATATATTTATGTAATAGCATATATATTCCAGTATAAGTATGAACGTTTTTAAAATATATTATGAATTTTTGAGACATTTATTCGCTTAAAATTAAAGGGAAATTGCTTTTTAAATATTAAATTCACTTAAATTAATCTTATAAAAACTTATTTCTTACTCCTACTTTTGAATTAGTGAAGCGAAATTTAGTAAAAACGTGAATCTTGATATAAATTAGTAAAAATAAAATTGAAAAATTTTAAGCTAATGTTTAGAACTTTTAAAACTTATTTTTTAATTTTAAAAATTAGTTTTTTCTGATTTCACATTAGAAATTAATCCTAAGTTAATAAGAAAAACAGAAAAGAAAAGACATTCTGAAGGTTTCTTCGCTTTCTGTATCTCTAGCCATTATTTTCCAAAAATTTGGATATTAATTTATAAAAAACTGACCTTATTACATTTGTGCTAATACGAAAATGATTAGCACGTAGTTTGCTACTTAATATAAAAATAAATTAGATACTTTTTTAGTTATAATTAATTTTAATAATCTCAGTATAAAAATTTAAAGTCTGAATGAACTATAAAATATTCTAAATTTTAAAAGTCTTATTATTTATTTAATTATATATTATAGATATAATGAAGACTGAAAAATTAAATAATAGTTATTTTTTTATAAATCAAGCGCAAAAGTTTTAATTCTGTTACCTAAAATTATTAATTTTTAAACATAAAATCATTTTAAAAGCTTTATCATATAGGAATATTAAATTATAAGTAATAAGATATTGTGTAGTAATAATGTATTGTGTATTGAGTTTACTGAATCTAGAAGATTCTTTAGTTTCTCCTTTTTAGAAGGATAACTGATAAGCAAGATAGTCGAGGGAGACGTAGCAATCATCTGGTCTCCATCGACTATACTCTGAAAGATTCTACTATCCATCGATGGAAACTGGATGGATCCCAGAGAGGTTCTAAAACATTAAATCTATTCATCACCGCATTCAAACCTGTCACCGTGTCGTAGATTTTATGTTTCCTTCAGTAAACAGTACACAGATAAGATTAGATATATATTTGTATGTGTCTAATCTTGCTAAAATACATATAAGTAGGTGTATTGCGGTATAACCTATAAAAACCACTTTTTTTTTAGTAGACTTACCTCCAATGCTGTAAGTATAGGTTAGAAGTGCAATTTCTGCTAAATAGTATCTTCCTATGATAGTCATATCGTAGAGTATTATAAAAAGTATTTTCTAGGTGATATAAAAATACAAATGTAAGAAGACACTCGACTGATTGAAGAAAAAATTGAAAGGGATGAGTAGATAGTTTTTGACTTCTTAACTTGACCTACAATTTTCTAAGAAAAGATAAGAGAAGTACATTAGAGCTTTCATTCTATAAATGATTGAGAGATCGGAAAGAGATTATATAGCTTGATATATGTATTACAAGAAAATATAACTCATCATAAAATATAAATAATATTTTCTTTTTGATGATTGTTGTCCATAGCATTACTCTTTCTATATTGATTTAGAATGTTTTTTTTTTTTTTTTTAAATTCGAAAAGTTGCGTATACCATTTTAAATTTACTTATTTATTTTCTTGAAAATTTTATTTTAAAAATAAGAAATTGAATCGTGAAATTTCGTGATCGAATTTTATAAATGCTTCTTTTCGTGTACGATGCGCATACTTTATCTAATTTTTGGAGTTTGTATAGTTGAATCGTTTGTAATATCGATTAGAGTTTTCTTAGTATGACTGCAGTAGACATTACAGCATACCTTTTATTGTTCGTTATTCAATCAGTTTTTGCAATTTTCACACAATTTACGATTACAGCATCAATTAAAACTATCCGATATTTTTATTTTTTTCAAGTATAAAAAATAAAAAAACAATTCATTTTTAGTAATTAATATTTTAAATACAATTTTCTAATAAATAATACATAGTTTTGGAAATTCTTATAAATATAGTATTTTTATAATTAATTTTTTAAAAATTTACTTCAGTAAATATTTTCTGTTAAAACTTTTATAAATCGATACGACTTTTTAAATTTAATATACAAAAATAACAAATAATTAAATTTTTTGATGTTTAATTCGTAATTTGTAAGAAATAAAAAAAAAGTGCAATTTTAAGTTTGCTTTTTTTAAAAACGAATTAATTTAATTTTATAAAATATATTTTTAAACATAAACATTTTTTTTACATTTGCTTTATTAATATACAGGTATTATTAAATTGTTTAGTGAAAAAGAATATCTTTTTTATGAATATTTTATTGTGTACATATATAGATGCGATCATAAATCACAAAAAACACATTTTTGAGTTTAAAAAATGCTGAAAAATATAGATTTATAAAAAAATTAGTTTAAATCATAAATTATTCTCAAATACAGACATAATTTATCATCAAACTAAATAAGTAAACAGTACAGTATTTAAAAATGTATGCAATCTTCGGAATTTTTTAAATTTCTCCTAATTGTTCCTCTTAATTTTTGTTTCTTTCTTCTAAAATAATTATTTTAATTAAAATAAAGTATAGATCACACTTAAAAAACCATTTTGATAGAGTTAAACATGTTAAAATTTCTAAGCAATTTTTTAAGAAGAAAAAAACATATTAAACATTTAAAAATTAAAATTTATTAATTCAATCCTTGAATAGAAATTTATAAAAAATGTTTTTCTATAAAAATTATCTGGAAAGCGATTTTAAAATTGCATTTTTTAAATTAATTTAAATGTAGTAAATAATGGGTAATAAGTATTTTATTCGTCGAAAACACCAATTTTGGCGCAGAATACACGCGACACACCGTTACCATAGTCACCAGAATTTCAATAGATGATTGGCTAGCTGTATTTTCTGAGTCAGTAGTTTCTGCAGGCGAGACTATTCACGTGTCTGTCTCCTACCTGTTCCTTTTATTCAGGTGAGAAAAATTATTAACAAGATATCTATTTACAAGTTTGAATAATTAATTCGAAAATAAGATAGAAAATAATTGAAACCAATTCAAATTATCTGTTTTAAAACTGAAGCATCATTATGATTTAAAATTTAATCTCTGTGGTTTTAAAAGTATGTAATTGAAATTTTGTAAAAGCATTTTCATGTTTTAAATGCAGAATGAAGTTCGTGAAAGTTGCGAAAATCTTTATTTAAAAAATGAAGAATTGATGCCTTTATTGGGATATTTTTTTATTTTGTTAAAAATGTCTCTTCTTACTTTTTTTTATTTCATTGTATTTTTTATTTTATTTTTACAGTAAGTCTTACAAATAGATATTCCTATAAAAATAACTGTTGTGTTGTTGCACATTCTGTGTCAAGGATGTGCAGCAGTTTAAAACTTTCTTTACGTTCTTTTTTTTTTGTTAGGATTTAAGTAAATAAAGAAAAAATTAAATGATTAATTAATAAAAATAAAAATTAAATAAATTCTAAAATTTTATCTGCATTAATTGTTTTTAAAAGCTTAAATAATGCTGAAAGAACGAAGACGCCATTTTAATTTTTCTGTTCAATATTTTATTTTTGTCCGTTCGTATTAATGATTCATGGTTCTCTTTTATTTTGTGGATTATAAAGTGTTTTGTTTCTAAATAAATTAAATAAAATATTAATAAATTTATTTCTAAAAAAATAAAATTAAGTAAATAAATTTTATTTTAGTGATACTCGGGTGTGAAAAGTAGGTCAGATTTATAAAATTTCTATTAATGGAAGTTATTAGTTAAAAAATAAATAAATAAAGATATTCATAAATATTAAAAATCACTTCTCGAGTTTATAGTAAATTCGAAAATATTTAATATTAGATTTTCAAATTATTTAATATCTTAAAGATCTCTTTAGTAAAATGACAAAATACCGTAGTTAAATTTTAAATTTTTATATATTTTTTTTTTCTTTTTTTTTTGTTACAGGAAGAGAAGAGAGTGGAAAAATGTTTGAATCTATGCATTTTTCTTCTAATCTTTCACAAAATATTCTAATAATTTACAAAAAAATGACTATTATTTTTAGGTTTTTCCGATTCATAAATCCATATCTTTTATCATATTCATATATTATGATATATTATTACTTTCTAAAAAAAATAGATGCAAAACTTTGCACGTTGCAAATATATATAAATGATTCTGTTTGATTTATGAATTGTGAAATTTTCTATCTTATAATATTTCGTCTCCAATAACAGCAATAATAATAATAAACATAGAAAAATTATATCATTTACGATAGAAATGTGCAAAATTCTTATATTTTTCATTGCAAATAGCCGAATAGTGTAATGTATAGTGAATAGGGTGATAGCGCAGTTTCAGATGTTTAATAATAGATTAGATTTGTAACATGAAGGTTTGTTACTCGACAAGCAATTTGTTGTTCGATTAAAATTCCTTTTGTCTTTATTTTCCGGTTAAATTCTTTATTTGTTAGACATTCGTTCCTTAAAATAGCCGCTGATAAAGCTATCTATCGAACCTTTCTTTAATCATCTGACAAGATTTATGAATAAGGAAATTATGTTATCTATAATCGATGAAAAATATTCTTTATCCGTTAATATTCATATTTTTTTATATTTAAATTTACTAAATGCCAGTTTTATTTTTGTTTTCTTTTCTAAAAATCGATTAAAGCATTAAGAAATCGTTCATGCTTTAAATTTTTTTCTTTTCTTTCTTTTCTTTTTTTTTTAAAAATAAAAAATAAATATTGTATTGTACGATAAATAGAATAAAATTGAATTTTCCAACAATCATTCAAAGATATAATATTAAATCTTTCTGTAGAAGTTCATCCGANTGTTAAATATATTTACGAAAAATTAATTTTAAAATAAGCATTAAAAATTATCTGTTTATAATGCTAAATTTATATATAAATATATATTATTTTTTTTTTAAGCTAAAAACTAATAAAAATAAAATTATTATTTTCTGATAGTATATACAATTATTTTTATTTTATTATTTATAAGGAAGCGAATAAGAAGAATTATCATTGCTAACCTCATTGTTATATGATCTATGCTGATCATTTATTCATAGGAATTCACTATCGTTTCCCTGCAGATCACCAAATTTACTTTATGTGCAGTTATCGATTGAGTAGAAAATGCTTTAATCAAGAATCTCAATATGAATGGAGGACTTTTAGACTGAAGAGCATACAAGTTAATTATATTAATCTAGAAAATTTTAAAAACTTCAAATCTATTTTTTTTAATATTGTATTTGTGATTTTTAGAGATTTGATTAAAAAAACGTGAACTAAATATATTTTCTTACCGTTTATTATTTAAAGGAAGTAATAATGATGGCATCTTTTAATTGACGATATGATTCGTAATTAAATTAAAAATTATTTAAGCACAAATTTTATTGATTAACGTGCGGTTTTAATAGTTAATATAGCTGTTAAATGGATTTTTCTATGCATAAAAGAATAAAAATCTCAGTTTTAGTTTTTATTTTTGTTAATAAAATATTAAGTTAATTTTTAATGACTTTTACGGCATTTTTTATTTCTATGAAATCTCGATAAAAGTTATTAGCCTATTGATTACAGCTTTTCGTATTTTCTTCACGTATCTAACATCGAAATAGGTATCAGTTTCCCATAGAAAATCCTCCTTTGGCAGATTGTCATGTGCTGCATTGCCAAACTATGCATTAAAAGTTGCTGTCAAATAATTTATTATTTATTCTTAAATAATTCACTTTTGCTCTTTTAAAACAAATGAGCGATCACAGAAAGATATCTTATTTATATATTAAGTTTTAGAAGATAGCCTTTCATGAAAATGTGTCGTTTTTCCACTAGAAAAACCTGGGTGGACCTCATCCTTTCCCTTCAAGATGGTTCTCATTAATAATTCTTGGTTGAGAATGGGGTTAACGGACCAGAAAAGTTTTTATTGGAAAATAAATTGAATGTGAACAACATTAAATCTATTATAAATGATAAAGATGACGTCATATTTTCTGGAATTGGAAAAACTTGATTAAAAAAAAGGTTTAAAAACGAAACAAATTTTCAAAATTTTCTTCTTTTATAGAAAATTTGTTTTTATACAATTAAATATTTAAATATAAATAATCTGTATTTTTAAAATTTTTATGTGAATTTATTTGCTTTAAAAGAACAATAAATAAATAAATGAAATAAAATAAAATTTTACTCAAGGTTCATTTTATATAGGTTAGTGTTATTTGTATTATAAGCACACATTTATATATTACATAAATGTGTAAATAATTATTAATTTTTACAGAATAAATTTTTAGCTTTATCACTAGAAAAAGCATTTCACTTTTTAAGCTATTTTATTATTTATATTATATTAAACATTTATTATTATTACTTACATAGACTTTAATATATTCTAGAATTTTAATCAATTTGAATAAAATTTAAGTTATACAAGTCAAACAAAAATATCTAGGACGTCTCTTGATTATTAATTAGAAGTGTTTTATTAAAAAAAAATATAAAAATACAAAACAAAACAAAAAAAATATGATTACAAAAATTATTCTGTGTTAAACCATAACAGCAATAAATACAATTGTCTCAATAAAAGTGCAAAAACTTCTGACATCTTCAGCATTGACAGAAAATACATCGGACACAAACGTTTCTCTTCATTTATTAATAAATATCATTGGATATAATCTAATTATAATTTGCATACAACATATAAATAGCAATATTTATTTAGTGCAAATTAGGAAAATAAATGCCACCTGAAAAAGCAATATGCTGCGATATTACAGAAGTAATTGTAAATTATTATGAAGAGGGAAATTCTTTGAATCATATAGTTACAAAAATAAAAATTGGCAAATCAATAGTTTCTGATGTTATAAAAAGTACAAGGAAACTGAAAGCATTGATCCAGAACGATCGGAAATTGTAGCAGCTTCCGATCTCAAGTTCTTGTGAAAAATTATCAAAGAAAATCGGCGAGCATCACTTACAGAATTGATTTAATAGAATACAGCCATTATTAAATAAGTCACTAAAGACACTTGTCGGATGTATTTGCAGAAATTTGACTACAAGTTTTATCAGGTAATGTAATAGTTCAGTATGTCAGCATGATAATGTATTCACCAATAAAGCCAAATTTGAGGTTTGCTTAAAAACTACAACGAAGTTTCCAGAAAGCATTGTGGTATTAAGGAATTGCATGATTCATTCATGCAGTGCCATGACTGCATTCACTACCGATGAGACAGTGAATTCAGAAAGATATCAGCAAATTCTCAGAGAAACCTTTCTTCTAAGGAGCCGGAAAAATTGCAAAATCCAAATAAAATTTTTCAACAGGGTGGGGAAAGTTGCCAAACTGCTAAAACAACAGGGATCTGGCTTGTAAATCTCAACATTAATGCGTTGAGTTTGCCATCTAACAATCAAGATCTTTTTTCCATTGGAAATCTATGGGGAAAAGGTCTCAACAGACATATGTAAAAAAAAAAAATCCAGAAATTCTGGAATAAAATTACTGAAGAAAACTGTCAAGCTCTTACTAATAAAAATGCGTGATATGAACATGCAAATACAGTAATACCTTGTACAGGAAAAAGCTGATATAACAAGATACTAATCAGCAGTGTCTGAAGTTTATTTTTTTTTACTTATGCTTACTTCAAGTGTTTATTTCTTAAAATTAATATAAGCACGTGCACTTTTATTATTATTTTTGTTAATGAAGGTCATGTTTTAATTTACAATTTTTGTAAATAAGTTTACTGCCTTTTTTTCTGTTACTATGTTAAAAATATAATACAATTTAAAATCAAGAAGTGTCCCAGACTTGATAAAAAACAGTTTAAAAGGTATTATACGAAATATTTTTTGTTAGGGTTGTAGGCTATATGTAGATTATTGGAATAAGTATGATACGTCAGAAATACAAGTTGAGTACAAAATAATATAAAATTATTATAGATCATACATTGTTTTATACTGTCAACATTTAATATTGTGCGTTTTAATACTTCTTGTAAATTTGGGTTAGATCAATGTTTTATTAAAATATTTTTCTATGTATTTTTTTCTGCTATAATAATCAATATGGAAGTCATTTAATAATTCCTAAATCATTTTGATATCTGCAGAAAAACATGTTAGGTATATTTATAGATAATTTATCATTATTAAGTTTGTCATAAACAAACTTATTGTGATTAATTTTTTCGAAACCACTTAATATAATTGCATTTTCTTTATTTTTAAGAGTGTGTTTTAAATGTGACCATATGTTTATTTCTTCTGAATCTCTATCATCTGTGAAAAAAAAAAAACATTATTAATTATTAAAATTGTCATGTCGATTATATGCTAGCTCTATTATTATTTTATGAACGTTTTATTTAACGAATTTTTATTTAAACTATATAAATAAAGAATATTTAAGTGTTATAATTATGAAGTTTTTAAAAATCCAAATGAAATGTAGTCTACTAGCAGGCGTGCGGCGCAAACCAGCCGCTAATAGCCTATATCATATACCTGATATAGTGTGTATTAAATTTATGTTTCGATAAAGATTGTATGTTTTTATTACACAGTTAAATACTTTTAAGGATCTTTAGGAATCAGTATATGGGATTTCCAAATTACGTAAAACTATTTTTATACTTTTCGTAACGATTCGTAACGCGCCGCACATACCACCCAGTTCAAAGGAATAATACAGAACACGGGTTACTGAACGTTACATTACTTCATTAATTATGTGCAGAGCAGTGACATAAACAGTATTGTTCGTTATGCAACTCTTCGGAATCATTGTAGGCCAATTACCCAAGGATTTAGATCAGTGTTTCTCAACGGGGGCAATATCGCAATTATTTTTATTTTATTATTTATAAGGAAGCGAATAAGAAGAATTATCATTGCTAACCTCATTGTTATATGATCTATGCTGATCATTTATTCATAGGAATTCACTATCGTTTCCCTGCAGATCACCAAATTTACTTTATGTGCAGTTATCGATTGAGTAGAAAATGCTTTAATCAAGAATCTCAATATGAATGGAGGACTTTTAGACTGAAGAGCATACAAGTTAATTATATTAATCTAGAAAATTTTAAAAACTTCAAATCTATTTTTTTTAATATTGTATTTGTGATTTTTAGAGATTTGATTAAAAAAACGTGAACTAAATATATTTTCTTACCGTTTATTATTTAAAGGAAGTAATAATGATGGCATCTTTTAATTGACGATATGATTCGTAATTAAATTAAAAATTATTTAAGCACAAATTTTATTGATTAACGTGCGGTTTTAATAGTTAATATAGCTGTTAAATGGATTTTTCTATGCATAAAAGAATAAAAATCTCAGTTTTAGTTTTTATTTTTGTTAATAAAATATTAAGTTAATTTTTAATGACTTTTACGGCATTTTTTATTTCTATGAAATCTCGATAAAAGTTATTAGCCTATTGATTACAGCTTTTCGTATTTTCTTCACGTATCTAACATCGAAATAGGTATCAGTTTCCCATAGAAAATCCTCCTTTGGCAGATTGTCATGTGCTGCATTGCCAAACTATGCATTAAAAGTTGCTGTCAAATAATTTATTATTTATTCTTAAATAATTCACTTTTGCTCTTTTAAAACAAATGAGCGATCACAGAAAGATATCTTATTTATATATTAAGTTTTAGAAGATAGCCTTTCATGAAAATGTGTCGTTTTTCCACTAGAAAAACCTGGGTGGACCTCATCCTTTCCCTTCAAGATGGTTCTCATTAATAATTCTTGGTTGAGAATGGGGTTAACGGACCAGAAAAGTTTTTATTGGAAAATAAATTGAATGTGAACAACATTAAATCTATTATAAATGATAAAGATGACGTCATATTTTCTGGAATTGGAAAAACTTGATTAAAAAAAAGGTTTAAAAACGAAACAAATTTTCAAAATTTTCTTNTAATTCAATCCTTGAATAGAAATTTATAAAAAATGTTTTTCTATAAAAATTATCTGGAAAGCGATTTTAAAATTGCATTTTTTAAATTAATTTAAATGTAGTAAATAATGGGTAATAAGTATTTTATTCGTCGAAAACACCAATTTTGGCGCAGAATACACGCGACACACCGTTACCATAGTCACCAGAATTTCAATAGATGATTGGCTAGCTGTATTTTCTGAGTCAGTAGTTTCTGCAGGCGAGACTATTCACGTGTCTGTCTCCTACCTGTTCCTTTTATTCAGGTGAGAAAAATTATTAACAAGATATCTATTTACAAGTTTGAATAATTAATTCGAAAATAAGATAGAAAATAATTGAAACCAATTCAAATTATCTGTTTTAAAACTGAAGCATCATTATGATTTAAAATTTAATCTCTGTGGTTTTAAAAGTATGTAATTGAAATTTTGTAAAAGCATTTTCACGTTTTAAATGCAGAATGAAGTTCGTGAAAGTTGCGAAAATCTTTATTTAAAAAATGAAGAATTGATGCCTTTATTGGGATATTTTTTTATTTTGTTAAAAATGTCTCTTCTTACTTTTTTTTATTTCATTGTATTTTTTATTTTATTTTTACAGTAAGTCTTACAAATAGATATTCCTATAAAAATAACTGTTGTGTTGTTGCACATTCTGTGTCAAGGATGTGCAGCAGTTTAAAACTTTCTTTACGTTCTTTTTTTTTTGTTAGGATTTAAGTAAATAAAGAAAAAATTAAATGATTAATTAATAAAAATAAAAATTAAATAAATTCTAAAATTTTATCTGCATTAATTGTTTTTAAAAGCTTAAATAATGCTGAAAGAACGAAGACGCCATTTTAATTTTTCTGTTCAATATTTTATTTTTGTCCGTTCGTATTAATGATTCATGGTTCTCTTTTATTTTGTGGATTATAAAGTGTT